AAACCGCTTAGAGAGGGCTGAAAGCCCTATGAAGCGGTATATAAGTCTACTGCTATTGCTATTGCTATTGCTACTGCTATTGGCTTGTCCCTTTCCCAATATCAATGGAATCTGTCAATTCTCCATTTATCATTATCTTTGCTGTTTGTTTGTGATATATGGTTTGTATGGCTTGAATAAATTTCTTGCCAAGCCCCATCTGTTCCAACTGCAGCAACATAAATCGCCAATTCACATTATCAAAGGTTTTCTGTGCTTCTAAGAATATCAAGGCCATTTGCTTTTCAGGAAGAGCCTCGTAGTATTCCAAAGTGTCCAGGATTATTCTCATATTATCTTTGATTTGTCTCTTTGGCAGAAACCCATTTTGGTCAGGGTGAATAAAGTTATTTAAGTATCAATATTCTGCCAATATTGAAGCGAATATTGCATAATCTGAATTTAGCAGGGAGATCGGTCTGTAATTCTTCATTTGATGTGGGTCGGCGAAAAGGACACCATTTTTGAAGGGGCACCAGATGGCCATTCCCCCCCCCCCTTGGTCACTTCCGAAGGGAAGACCCCCACTGACTTCTTCTGCCTGGTTACCGGGACTTGTTTGGCACCTGCAGCAAGCAGGATATGTGGGCAGCCTCTAACCAGGTGTGGCAGCCCCCGTCTTTGGCCCCCACCTGGGACAGGAAAAGGGGAGAGAGGTTACATGCCCACCTGTGCCATCTTTACTAGGCATCACTAAGTTTGCTGGCATCCTGCCATGAACGGAGGGAGGGGGCGAGGAAGATAGGGAAGTGGGGGGGGGGAGGACACTGAGAGGAACCAGAGGTGCCAAGCCAGATTCACCGTCGCAAGGGCGCCTGGCGCTGGGAAAGAATGCCAAACCTCCTGGAGAGGCACCCAGACTCCAAGCGGCTGCCACAGCATCGACCCAGGATGCCCATGGGCACTGAGGGTCCGGTCAGGTGGGACCCCTGGTCTTTTGAGGTTGACTCAGCCTTCCGTCCTCCCGAGGTGGGTCAAATGAGGACCCAGAGTGTTGGGGGCCAGAGGCTGAGCCTGTAGCCGCTTAGGGGGGGCTGGAAACGGCTGGAAAGCGGTCTATAAGTCTAAGGGCTCTGGCTCCGTCTGTTTCGCCTGCTTCTGCCGCAGCCCCTCCGCAAAGGAGCCCAAGGGAGTCCGTCGGGGGTCTTTCTCCCCCAAAGCTCCGGGCTGGGGCAGGGCCGGCCCTGGGCGTTTCTCCGAGCGCGGCGGCGGGTGGGCGGCTGAGTCAGACGAAAGCCGAAAAGTGCTGATTTCTTTGCAAAGCTGCCTATAAAGCGCCGCTTCTGCCTCCGCCACATCAGCCGCGCTGCCCGGAAGGAAGGAGCAGCCATGGCCCCTTCAGCCCCAGGTAAGCCCCGCCGCCGCCCCCCACCTGCCCCCGGGCCCTTCTTGCCCCGCAGAAGCGACCCTCTGGCAGCGCCCACCTGAGCCCGGGACGCCGCTCGGAAGCCGCCGACGGTGGGCTCAGCCCGGGACCCCCGGCAGCCTGGCAAAGGTCTGCTCCGGGGCTGCTGGGCGGGAGGGGATCGAGACCCCCCCTCCCGCGCCCCTCCTGCCTCTCCGGAGCCGAGCCAGGCGCCCCGAGGGACCAGCTGGGACACTTAAGGGGGAAGAGACCCAGCCGCCTGTGGAAGGGGTCGCCAACAGCCCCCGGGCGCAAGGAGGCCAGCCCCCCCCCCCGCGGGTCCCCCTGGGCATCAGAGGCGGCCTGGTTGCAGGGACGGCAGACGATCCTGGTCCCCCTGTAGGGCAGAGGGGCAGAACCCTGAGCGGCCCACCGGGGCTGCACGGTCCCGAAAGGAGAAGGGGGGCAGCCCAGCCTTTGACCCTTTGCGCGTTTGTGGCATCTATCCGATGGATGGATGGATGGATGGATGGATGGATGGATGGATGGATGGATGGATGGATGGATGGATGGATGGATGGATGGATGGATGGATGGATGG